GATGAATTGGTATTAAAGAAATATATTTAAATTGATATTAAAACTGCAAATACACTAATATTTAAAATATTAAAGACATCAAAAGATTCTCAAAAGGACGGACAAATTATCTGGATTATTAGTACGGTATTTAGTAATTTTGTTGGGTGTAGGATATAAATGCAACGATTTTGAATAGACTGTCTCAGAACTGTGTAAAGTAAGTAACTGAGAATAACTTAAAAAATAATAAAACTTTATCACTTTATATTTAAAAAAAATGAAGTGTTTGTGACCCGAATACATAATACTTTTTTCCTTACCTCAGGTCAAAGAATCATCAGCAGAATTTAGTAGGTGGAATATTTAAACACCCTGTAAACTACGAGAATTTTCAAGTTTTTTTTCACGCTATTGGGAAATATGAAAGAGTGCAATAAAGTAAAAAAAAGACAGAAATCATTCTACTGATAAGAAATTTTGTTTTATCTTTAAGTTAAAATGAAACGTAAATATCGTGGTCATTCCTGAATGTCCTTTATATTTTTAAATACAGCATAGCCCAGTGCTTGCGTTAAACATTCTACTAATAATTTCACTACTCGTTCTAAAATTGACAGAACTTAAAATTGACTAGAGTATATCTCTCTCCACGGCACACAGTCTCTAACATAATATACATTTTAGCCACATTTACTACTTAGGCAAAGGTGACGGCAGGATTTTTCATACGACCCGCCCACCCTTTTTTTTGTGTGCATTAAACATCAAAACGTAATACCTGCTTGCGCCTAGCACCATAAAAGAACTCAACGAAAACACGAAAGAGATTTTACACAAATGTTTAAGTGAAGACAGTTTAGAATATGTTGCAAACTGATTCACATTTTCCAGGTAAGATGCAATTACTAACAGTTTGTTCATTACAAAATCAAGACACAGCACTGCGTCATTGTTATCTCAGTAGATCTAAAGTTTATTAGCTCATTTCTGATATTTGCACTTGAATATCAATTTCACTCATATGTAAAACAAATTCAACATTCTGCGAATCAATTCCATTTACAAAAATATATATTTAGAACAGCCAGGCATCGTTTGTTCCAGATTAACTACCTTAACACATAAAAAAAGACAGTAAATGAAAATATTAAACATTCCTCAGTTTGCGTTTGTGATCATTTTAATTAGTAATTGATTTTTATCTGATCGAGGTATTTTTCTGACAACCATTTGATGTTTTTGTTTGTTTCTACTGCCATTTTTTTCATAAGAGAGATGCTATATTGAAAAGAAAACCGCTAAAGAAAATAGATTCTTTCAAGTGCACACCTTTGCAAAATATTAAATTAATAAATTAAATTTGATTTGCAATTGAATGAATTTGATTTAAAAAAATTGAATTCGGAACAGACATCTATATGAACTTATCATATCAACAATTATACACTTTTGAAAGATACTCACTGTCTAAGAATCACCTGATTAATTTATATTCTACTTTTTAATTACATAAGATCTAGATCAATCGATAACTTTTTTTAAAAGAACACATACATGTATTAAAGATGCAGACTTCTTAAATGAGTATCATTTGACTCATTTTTTCTATTCTTCTATTAGTTTTCTCTTTATTTCAAAATTTCAAAATCAATCAATCAGGAGTGAACGTGTTACGTGAAGTTTAACGTCGAAATAAACCTCTCTCGAGATTAATACGAGTGTCCTGAAGAATATTTGATCCATTTGTAACTTTGTACATAGTGAGATAAATTATATTAGATTTCAGGGTATCTCAGAAACTACTACAGACAGAAAAAAACTGGTGTCGAATGTTTTCGAGATCAATTTTCAAGAAATTGCTTAAATATATATCTTTATTTGTCGAATTATCATCGAGAAATAATCATTTTTGTGACAATTTCGACTACTTGTGCGTATCCGCTGTTGGATAGATTGTAAAATGATAACCATAGCTTTTTAGTAGATCTCACGGAACTCTAAAGCAAATGTTTATTTTTTAAATGAAAGCCATAGTTGTCTATTAACTAGAAAGTTAAATAATTATTTATAGTTTCCGATAATTGGAATAATATGAGTATTTTATACGTATTTAAATAAAGTATACTGGGTGTCAGGATATATGAAATTGATTCATAAGTTTATTTGTAGTTTTTCAAAACATTACGTAGTTTTAGCAAAAAAAGTACATATTCAAAAAACTTACACAAAGACTCTCTTATTCCATGTGTTATCGACATTAACATTTCCTAGAAAATAAAGGTAACTATTGCTTTAGAATAATATTTTGCTACTACATTTTTCGTTTCAATCAGCGTCTTCTGTATTTTAAGTAAAGAAATAAATTGAATATAATCTTTGGATTTCCAGAAACTTTTCTATTCCAAGTTTCATTGAAATAAAAAGTGACGGAGTTTTTACATAAAATTGAACAAAAAAATGTCTGAAGTCCCGTAGCTTTTTAAGGAAGCATTTTCGTACCAAAGTTGTTAATCGTGACTCACACTGACCAATTTTTATTTAAAGTAGAAAAACACGATTAAATAGTACCTTCTTCGAAAAATCATCCTCTACACAACTATATTTTCCTTCCAGATTAGTTTCTGAGAACTAGATACTTTTTGAGAAGTAACAGAACACTTTAATTTTTCAATTGGAAGTGAATTAGAAAAAAACAAAATACCTTAAAGTGTCACTCGATGCCAATTGGCTTTCAATGATAGCCTGTTTTCAAGAACTGTTTTAACATATTCAGTATTTGAGCAAATTTAAAGAAACGACAGCAATTTAACATAGCGTTCCCCCTGAATTTTCCGCTGAAAATGATGGAGCCATCAGAAATGCTCCATCTTGTCAAAATTTTTCCCTAACCTGAAAAAGCAGGTCAAAATCAATGGAAATCTAGATTTTTTGTTGAAATAGTTAAGATTTTAAAATTGAAGTACACAAACGTATTAATGGGGTCAAAATAAAAACTTTTTAATCTTGCACTTTTTTCTCTAAATTGCATTCTTGAGAAGTTGTAGGTATTTTAATGCTCAAAATTGATAAAAAATGGCTCCACAAGGAGGCACTTTAGAGAAAACAGTGCAGAGATATTTTGACCCGGTTAACACGTCTGTGTACTTTATTCTCAAAATCTTAACTATTCTAGCAAAAATCGAGATTTTCACCGATTTTGAGCTATTTTTTGAGGTTAGGGAAAAATCCTGAAGTAATGAAGCATTTCTAATGGCTTCATCGTCTTACATGGAGGTATAATACTCCGTTAAAACGTATATGAAATTATTTTTTGTGTATTGTTTTTTATTGAATTAAGTCTAAAATATGTGTAAATTAAAACAAATTAATCAAAGTTAGTCCATATAGGTGAGGTGGGAACAATTGACAATTGCATGCTTACACAATTTAAGAACAGCCAGTAAGGACTAATGATTGTTTTGCGTCCGATATTCTAAACTGCCCCGAGAGCATAAAGCAGACGTTCCACATTTTATTTACAAAAGAATATACACAGCTTTTCCTGACAATGTGACTAGAGGTAAATATGGAAGAAGCATTTTCAGTATGCATCTGGAACGTCCTACATCTTAGACATATTCGAAGATATTACTTATTGCCATACAAATATTTAATCACTAAACATACGCCCAATAATATTGATTATATACATGGAGACATTTAATCATCTTCATAATAAACATTTTATCAGTAACAAAACTATACATACGCCGTCGAACATCTAAATAAATTTTTGCATGGCAATCAACGGAAGTAAATAAACACTGTACATATATAAAATACAAATACCAACAATCAAGTGAAAATAATAGATATATCTAAAAAGTTTACATCAACTTTCAGTTTGCATTTTATAATAAGTATTTATATACACCTTAAGAATGTACAGAGATCAGATCCTCCTTCAAGCGATACCCGTCAGGATATCTTGGAAAATTACAAATCTAAAATAATTAAATGTCACATTCTACGAACATGTGATAAATCAGTGGCATACAAATTTTACTTCGCTACAAATACCAGATGGAAATCTGCCTAAATATACGTTACATGGCAGTGACGTTTTTTTATACATTAGTATTTATTTGTGCAGTTATCTTAAATGAAAAAAAAAATAAAAATCAGTAGACACGAACAGGTATTTAACACATAAGAATTTTACCAAACCAGACGATATTCTACAACTCTATCACGCACATTACAAATAGTTATCAATGAGTTCACCACAACCATACTCTTCTTGTATTTTTAACAACAATTTTTTTATGCGGCATTTCCTTCAATTTAATTGAATCGACGTTACATGCAAGAGAATGTTGTTTTCCATGCCATATTTTCTATTGGAAAAACAAAAAACTCATTCTTGTTCTCAACTTTACACATAATTACAAGGTGCTCCCATTGTTAAATTTCTCTATAATGCTAAATAAAATATTCAAGCTAATGCCTACGCTTAATATATGTATTAATACTAATTCTTTTGATATAAACTTTATATAGTGTAATACAGTTAAGAATACATTTTTTCAAATATAGGCATGAAGAATACTGTACGAAGACAAGATCAGTTATCAAATTTACGAAATTAATCTCTCTATAAAAATGATAATTTTATTTCTAGAACACGGGTAAAGCATAACGTTAGAATTAAAATGGTAAATTTCTTATATATTAAAAGTCAGCAGTCGTGGTATGTTTAACATTGAGTGATTATCACACTTTTGAAAATTATAAAACAATCAAATTGTGCAACACGCAACAATCATTTTCTAAGGTTCCATTTAGATACTTCTCTATTTCTTTAATAAATATTCATTTAACTACCAACTAAAATTATATAATTTAAATATTAGATAACAATGATCCTAATTATAAGTTTGATTTCTAATAAGCAAATACATATATCCTTCATATATATTTAAATATAACTAAGACGTTTCTTTTCGTATTTATAGTCTTATTGATGGTGATACAGGTAAGAATGGTACATACATCGATGATGGGTGATTCCTAATGTAATATACCCTAATGTTGTCTTTTAATTGTGCTGCCACAATAAAAAGTGGATTATTATTGGGCCCAAACCGCAAAAATTCAGTCGCTCTGTTCTCCGTCGCCTTCCACATCTTTCTCTCCTACCTCCCTGGTGTTGCTGTCTTCCGTCTCGATGCTGCTGGTGGGCGTCGGAGTATCCTCAACGTTTAATAAGCCAGAAGTAGAGCTAGTGGACTGTGTAACATTTGGACTGACGTCGAAAGCGTCGTTCTTTCCAGGACTGTACTTCAGATCAGACGAATATGTCGTACTTAGGTAGCTAGTTTTCTCCGGATATTTGCTTCCGATCGTGTTGTACTTGCTGTCGGATGTCGTGAAGATAGATTCAGAATCGTAGCTGCTGGTCTTCGAATTCAACGTCGAATATTTAGAAGTGTCGCTTGAATAAGAGTCGAAAAATGACTTGACTTCTTTAGTCGATCCGATCGTGTTAAATTTATCGCTGTAACTCATGTCTCCAGGAGTATAACTCATGTAAGCTCCAGTTAGAAACGGATTGGTGCTAGCGTAAGTCGGCTGAGAATAGCTAGCCGGTTGCGAGTAATTTGGCCCATAGTGATTAGTAGAGGTTGTATTGTTACTCGTGCCCTGCAGGGTTGATAGAGTCGAAAAGGATGGGGTTGTGCTTCCGAGAGTGACGTTCAATCCTGCAGAGCTAGCCTGCATGGCTGGAGAACTGGACCTGGAAACCTGGCCCAGAACCGACGGAGAAGCTCGGCTCAAGCTGGTTATCGACGGCGAATTTCTCGGACCTGGAGAATTACCTGAGGTGGTGCTGGTTATGGAAGGAGAGTGTCTAATACCCGGGGAGTTGATAGTAACCGAGGGGGAGGACCTCATCACAGCTTGTGAGGAGGGAGATGCGCGGATCGCGGGGGAACTGACGCGGTTGGGCAGGCAGTGTTTAACGGATTCGGAACCGGACTGGGAATCGCTACTGCTGCTTGGAGAGCCTGGAGAAGAGACTATCACCTGGCGCGGTCTGAGGCCCCCTCCCGACGAGGATGCCGCTGGAGGTCCTACCCGAGGAGACAGCGGCCGGTAGGGACCTTTGCTTGCTGATGATTGGCCCTGTAACATTTCTTCGTTGGTTAAAGGTATTTTCTTCTCCTAGATGAGTTTACAGTAGTAGTCTCAGTTACTTGAATAAAAAATATATTACGGAAATTTCAACTGGAAATATTATCATGTAACTCCGAAAGGAAATAATTGTGCAGGTTGTAACAGCGACGTTGCGACAAACTTTCAGACTAATTCATCTCATCAAAATAAAGGACATTTTTTTCTAAAAAGGTTGCAAGGATGAACGAATTGAAGAACTATTTAAGATGCACTTCAAACTTGATACAATGGAGTTTATTCAAAATAACTGCACAAAAACTTTAGTAACGTTGAAATTTCATTGGGGAATCTAAATAAAAACAATTTACTGGTTTAACGCCATGTCAATGTTTGAACTTTATTTTCTGGTTAGTAATTCAAGAAAAATTGGATTTTATATCTAATATTAGGAAAATTAGTCGTGGATCTCTCATAAACGCAGTAAGCAGAGAATATGTTTGGTATGAAAATGTATACAGTGTTTTGAAACATGTACCTCAAATTCAGGAACTGAGAGAACATAATTTTTTTACAGTTGACAGATTTATCGTCTTTTGTTTTTCAGAAAATGGCGTTAAAAAATTTTTTTGAAATCAAACTTTACCCATACCTTTCCCGAAAAACATAAAGCGTTAAAATTTGGTACAGGCAAGTTTTTTCATATCTTTTTAAAGCATTAGCATTATTCGTTTTTGACTATTTGCTAGAGATCGTTAGTTCTTACCCAGTAACATTTTATGACAGCTTTTCACATTCTCAAACACGTACGTAACAAAAGCCGGGTCGCGTGGTAATTTATTTGTTAGTTCTCGGAACGGATGGGCCAAAAAGTAAAATATTTCAGTCATCACAAATTATCGAAAGTTGAGGGCTTTCAAGAAGGAAGTCCTTCGGAGAAATTTACCAACATATTTAACAAGTTCGCTTAGAGTCAGGGCCATGTGACAGTCATCTGTTGCGTCGTGGAGGCGCCAGCGTAAAAACCCATACTTTTAATAACGCGCGAAACCGCGAGAAGAGCGTAGAGGTTCCAAAATAGAATTAAATCAAATTGTAAACTGATAGTAATTGGAAAATAAACTAACAGATCAAGGTAGCTGGTTTTTTGACGGATTTTCCAAGCTATAAGAGTAGATTAAATGAGATCGACGGATGATGTGTTGGGGACGTACATACCTATACATTTTTATACCAAATATACTGTCGTAATCCACTATAGCACACCGTACGAAGTTACAAGGTATATAGACCAACAACTTACTGGTTTTAGGATAATATGTTACTTTTGTTGATACGTAAAATCAGTCCTGACGGTTTGTCGTAACATCGCTACTGCCACCTCTATATAAGACGTAATCTAAATATCGTGAAAATTTATTACTATTTATTTTAATATTGTTACATTAATACTTTTTATTTTTGTATTGAGTACTTTTGATATTAATTTATTTACTAGTTTAAATCAGTATCTATTAACACATTTATAACATAAGCGCACGTTACATGTACCTATAATTAACATCGTCAACTGTTTAAGCAAAAAAATAGCGTTTAGTAGGACAAAAACATTCTACTCTAGAGCTAGACGTCCTTTTATCTATCTGATCGAAAGTCGTTATTAAAGATTTAGTTATATTATTAGACAAACCATAAAAGATTTCGAAAATAGGTATAGGTAAGTTTAAAATTTAAAGAAGCAATGTACATAGAGACAGAACAATTTTTCAGTATTTCTTCTTCTTCCGTCAATTCTGTTTTCTGGAAGTAACTCCAACTTTACAATTTTTAATATAATGTTTATTGTACTTTGTACAAATAGATGACGAGAATAGTTTGCAATAAAAAATTTTTTTACAAACTTGTCACAAGAAATCAGCCTTTCTTCGTTCTTCTTTTAGTTTCTCCAAATTTTAAATTATATTGAAATTGATTTAGATAATTGACATAAGATAACAATAGAAAATACAAGCCAGATATAAAAGTAGTCAATGTGATACTGATTATGTATGGTTGTTTCCATCTCCAACATATCTTCTTACTTTAACTTTAACAATATAGTCTAGTCACTACATTTTCTAAACTAACAGGTACCTGTTATTTGAACCATTTGTGAAGTATTGGCGAAGAAACAGAGAGTAATATATTTAAGAGCAATTGTACGATACTTTATTAAGACAAAATTTGAAAATATCCTCTTATAGACGTGTCAGATCCTTGCATTTTTCTTAATGAGCTTAATTTCCGTTTGAAAGATAAGTTTTTAATTAATTTAATTGTATTGTACAATCGCACATTCTAATAGCAGCTACATAAGTAACGACAAAACATGACGATAATTTTTATACGAGGCCGAACTGTGCAAAGATATACGACTAGGAAATCTGTTGATTTGAACATACAACATATCCCGGAGATCTTGGAAAAAATAAAATATTAGAATCCTTGTCCAATTTTATGAAGATGTTTCTTATCAAACTTTTCCCATCAAGCTTCCTATTAAAAGTTGCCCTCTCTTTTAGGTAGAATTATATTACCTATTTAAAATTTTCTCCAAAATGGCTGCAAATAGAAAGGTGAATTTTTGTTGCATTGCAATTTGCTTCATATTTTTTTCTTTGAAAAAGTTGAAACAAAAAGTATATTATTCACAAAATTTGATCAAAATACATGCGCATGTTTACTAGACCAAATACGAATTGTGAATATCTGAGAACTGTCTCTTACGCCATTTTCAGAATTCATAAATCTTTGCATAAGATCCAAATAAAGAAAGTCAATAAGATTCAAGTCCGGTAATCTTGGAGATCAGTGAACAGGAGCATGTTGACTCTCCCCATCCATCAACCCGTAAAATATTCATTCAGCTATCTTCTCATTACTAACGTGAGGTGGTAAATTGGGAATACATCGATTTGAATATTTTTAAGTACATTCTAAGCACCTTTGGATGCACAGGTTATGAAATGCATATCTGTATATTCTTGGTTTGAATAAACTATGTACATAATTTGCCATAATTTTAATGAAAGGGGGGGGGGGAGAACAGTAGACTTGGTTTGCTTAATAATTACATTACACAACTGACTAATGACTAGAAATCAAAATCAAAATAACAGATGTCACAAGAATACTATTCAAAAAATACTTTAAATATACATATATTTCACTGTGAAGTAAATAGCTCGGCATGTATGGTTGGAAGTGCCATTTTTTTATTCAAACACTAAGATATACAGTGATATTTTAGAAGACCTAAAAAACGTGTATAACAAAATTAATTTTTCTATTTGCAGTCGTTTTTGAGAAACGTTTAAAAACATTGTTTTTGCTCCCACCTAAAAGGGGCTCCAACTTTTTAGAACAGGCTTGGATAGAAAAAATGTATATGTAACACCCCCTCATAAAATTAGATAAAAATCCAATCATTTCATTTTTTCCAATCCTTTCCGGGACACCCTGTATATACTTGTCGTGTACTTGAAGTAGTAGTTAAATCGCATCACTTTGTCGTTACACGTGTAGTTGCCATAAAGCTGGGTACTTACGAGTATCTGGTGTGATGGGCCCTGTGGCTGTGGGCCTCGCGGGCCCGAGACTGCTGAGCGAGGAGGAGGAGGAAACGGAGCCGCTGAGAGCCGAGACGGCTCGCGCGGCGCCCCCTGCAGACCCGGATGAGACGCACTGCGACTGTCTCCACGCGGCCCGGGTGGCCTGCCGCGACGACCTGTCTGGAAAGGCCCCCTCTAAATACCAACAACACCCCCACACATCGACGCTAACTACTGCAAGGCCGCCTAGACCTACTTCAACCTCGGTGGACGGGCAGCGGTGCGATTTTGGTGTGATTCGAACCAAATAATGTCAATATCGCTGGATGGGACAATAATTTAAGGGAATTTAAGACAAACGGACCTATTCTGTAATTATACTTTAACAGACGACATCGTTAAATAACGACTTCGGATTCTAACGCCAATTTATAAAAATGTTATTCCATAATTTTGGTCGTCCATTCGAGGACATACCCATAAGCGAACCTGTAACTTTCGAAAAGCTTACAGAGCGTTACATGTAGCTTACAGAAGCTATCAAAAAATCGTAATTTCTTACGACTAAGCCTGATGTCATTAGAACGACTTACAGGATGTTTTTTTGAGGTTAGGAATAGATAAAATAGTTTCGACAAATCTATTTGTTTAAACATCGAATTAATTAATTTACGAAAGAGGAATATGAATCTACCAGAACATGTGCTAGATGCTATTTCGTGATCTGAAATAGTTTTTGATACCAACACTTGTTAAACTCAATTTCACATTGTGTCTTATGTAATAGACATAATATTTGCTTAATGCTTTCAGCTATAAAGGCGAATTAAGAAGCAACATGCTTCTGAAATTATTACCAATAAACTCTTTTAAGTGCTATTTTTTTGTAGCCTTGTACCACTTCTGTAAAACACACGGAATATATCCCATATTCAATCAGCAGGCGGTTACTATAGAATTACTACTGTTTATTTATTACTATTTATTATTACTTGTTGAAAACTGGATTTGTTGATATGGAGTTCCCAGAGACAGAACTTCCAAGTGTTATAGAATGTTTGCCGCCTGCTAAGTGTCTCAAGAACCAACTCATTCACAGTCAGATGGAATGGTTGAGGCATTCAACCGAACAATAAAAAATCTACCCCTGAAAAACTACCATCAACAAAAATCGACCAACTGGGACACCTCCTTTCTTCCATTTTGAATGGGTTATAGAGTAAAATAATAGCAAGACACCAGCCAGTGTCTTTTTAACGTAAAATTACGTCTGAGTCAACCAGAGCATCGGCCATGTGAAAGACTCGATAAAGTTTCTACATAAAAAGGTACGAGAAAAGTTGTAGATAGTATGACTTGCTTGACAACAGCAGTGGGTTCCAGCAACATTTAAATTTGATTGTATAATCCTAAAAGGACCAACGGCAAATCTTATACGGACTCCAAAAAAGTACTCTCATACGGTGTGGCAAAATTAAATTATGTGGTGCATATGATCTCCAGTCCAAGATAGAAATTATTATTTGCGTAGATAAATTAAGACCTTAGCAGGAGGATCATGCAGACAATGGATTAATCTAATTCTGACGACCTAAGAGAAGGATAATGTTACGGAAGCTCACCTATTTTGTGAATTTCTTACACGTTTCGAAGGTCCAAAAATTTGTAGGTCAAGAAAAAGGGTATAGAAAAAGGCAGAAAGTATAATATATTTTATAGAAGCGAACATGAAAAATCGAAATCTCAAAATAAGTGAAAATAGTTGTTATTGACATTTTTTGTCATTAAAGTTTATAGAAATAACTTTATTAACTAATAATTTTGTATCAAGTGTCAGTAAAACCTGTTTCGTTCTCCTCAAAAATATATTTTATTTTGAAGGCTAGGTTCCGTTGAGATAGTTTAGAATATGATAGAAAATAAAGAAGAAATGCCAATTCATTAAAACTGTATACAGGAGGATATGTTACAGTGTAACAATTACACCAATAGGTAAACAAACAGAAGAAAATATTGAACTGATGATTTCCAATATTTATTCTGAAACTAGAATGTTGAAATAATATTTGTTAGGTAAACTCCTTTATTAAAATTGAGGAAGTGGTATTTCTAATTGAACATTTGTCAATATTCTACACTACATATCTTATATGACACTGGATCGTAGTCAGTGATAGTCTTAATACTAGCTTATTTAACTAATTTCCAATAATGAAATAGAGAAATTGAAGGAAATTCTTCATCTTAATCATTTATCCCCATACTGATATTAACATTATTTGTTTCAAAACTGTGGTTAATTGTGAGAGTGTACTTGGAGATGAAGCTGTCAATAATTGATGTGCTGTGGGTGTTATTTAGTTTATTTAGTGTGGAACTATATTTAAATATTATTTATTGCCAATCAACTACAGATTTTCTATTGATTTCATTTAGTTTTTCATATCAAAACTTTGTATCTAGTCGTAAAGATGTTTAATTGTTGAAATTAAAATATATCTGAAATTTTCACGTGTATATCAAACAGCAAAAAACGTTATTCAACAATATAAACCATATTTTCATTAATTTATGAAACTCAAGGAATACTCGAAATAATAAAGATAAGTCACCAGTAATCAAAGAATATGCGATTTAATTTTCTTCCCAGTTCTAAAATTTTTGGAAAGCTCAGTTCGACACTAAATAAACTTTGTCTAAAGTACTAAGGCTAGTTCCCAAATGACACTTTTACTGTACCAAAAAAACTGATGATGTGACATTGATGAGTTGAAAGTAAGGTGCTCAATTTATAAGAAAAAGTGTTAAAATCATCTGTAGTTTCGATCAATTCATATAGAAACGCGTTTTTTAAATCCATACATGTTGAGAAAAAGTAAGCTTGAAAGCAACTTGGTTCAGTTCAACCTAACAATGTAATCCTTTAACAATTCGTGTTCTCTCCATTTTAAAGGAGAAAAACTCCTACGAATCGAATGACATTAAATTTCTTTGTATGAAATTCAATAAGACAGAAGACAAAAAATATCTGCTTGGCAGATATTTTAATATTTAGTATTCTCAGATTTGTGTACATCACCTACATACAGCTAAATGCAAAGTGGGAAAAATACTTTTTTAGGAAACATGATCTATATTTTGCGATGATGGAAATGCTCTTTTCCTTCAGACATGAAGAAGTTCATTGCATCCGTGAATATTTCTTGTTATAAACGAATTATGCAGTAGTTATCATGATCTTAACACTTTTTCTTGCTAATACCAACTGTTCTAAGTAGGCATCATGTACACCACTACACATTACCTGAGTGATGCTTGGGAGTAGGCCATATCTGCAGAAGGTACTTCAAGACGCTGATGGGCTGTTGGTAGTCCAGTTCGTGATGGGGCTTAGCGGCTGCCGTCGGTGTCATGGACTCGTTGGAGTGAAGCATGAGGGGCGGCGCGAGGGCCGTGGCCAGATTCTGAGCTGACATCTTGTTTCTGTCTGATGCAGACACCACAAGGGCCAGATGATCCATGAGGAATATTAAGGTGGCCTGAAAACAAAATAATCATAAAGCAATCTTCATTTCTTGCTAAAAAAACACTTGGTAAAAGATAAAACCCTGATTAATAATTCCTTCTATTGTGAAATATAGTCAGTAAATGTTAATTAATATTCTAATCAAGAAAAAACAGTACGTGATGTTACAGCAACTGGTTTGAATCAGTTTTAACGAACCAAGACAAATATTCCTTCTTCTCACTGATCTTGCAGTCCTAAACTATTTGCAGTACTTGATTTTTTAAATGTCTTTATAAAAAAAGTGGACAGGGTTGAAGGGAAAAGACCGAAGTGATCATGCTACGGTCCTCTTCCTTCAATCCGTGTACTTCTTGAACTTCATTAAGGTAATCCAGGGCCACAACTTTAAGAAGTCCAGGCAGGTCACTAAAGAAAATTAGACATACTGAACACCATCCATTCCATTTGGTAACGAGAACAATCCAATTAAGGAATAGTGGATAATCCCTACAATTCAAATAAAAACCGCGCTGGAAGTGATCTCGTTGCAGCGAATCGCATCCACATTATCAAGTTCACAAACATGTGTATTATGAACATTATCGCATTTTATGTAAATATAGCTAACCCATCAGGTATATATCGGGCAATTTAGTTTAAGCGTTTTGTTGTAACAACTATTTATAAAATCTAATCCCTAGCGGATAATCTGCTAGTAGTAAAACTTGGACACGCTTGTTGAATGAATTATGCTGTACATATGAGGAGGTTTTTTCCCACAATATTTAAAAATTAGTTCCTCAGCTGCAACACTATGATGTGGGCAGCCTCAACATACACCTCTTCTACTCGGTCGCAAATTTCCCCTTTTACATCCTCGTTGAATCATCGCGGTAAAGATAGCAGTATTTGGCACAGGTCTACCCAGAAAACGTTCTATATAGCAACGAGAAGCTGTTAATGCATTTTGGCTTGCTTGACACAGGTCATTTTGAACAGTTGTAAGACTAATGTAAACAGTAAACCACAATAATAAGAGCAGTATGAAAACCACAATGATTCTGAATAAAAAGGCTGCTCGAACTACCTGGAAGGGCGCGCGGAAAAACTAAAAGATGCTTTTTAATAATCACACTATATTCGTCCAGCTTTTAAGTATAATAACTTCAAACATTTTTTTCTTGAAATCTGCAAACTTTATATTTTAACTTTTTTCTATTCTATTTTCTATGGGGCATATATCCCTAAAGTTTTTTGAAGTTATAATTCGATACCATCTAGAAAACGCAGATTTAATCCTTAATTTTAATCAAGAAGGGAGCGATACGCCTCTCGAATCGTCAACCGACAACGCAGTTACGTTTTTATTTAAAAAAAAACAAAGATAATATTTGTCTATCATTTTTCATCAGCATCATCAGAAACTTACCCTATTTATCCTAGGTAGGCAATCCAATATGGAGAACATAAGTTTAGCGTTACCCTCTGGATCGTCGGGTAAACAGACGCCTAAGGCATCTACCATCATTTGGTACAAACATTTGGTGAATAGGGGCTCTGGCAGCTCTCTCAAATAATCCTTCAGGACACCCGTGATAACATTAATGTCCGGCACGTTGTCCGGACTCAAGTCCACGGATCTGCTATTTCTTTCGAATGCCTCTCTCAAGATACGTTTCTTCGTAGCGGAGCCGCACAAACGATATAGTCCTGAAAAAGATTCATTATTAATAACATTACGATTACATCTAGTCATCTAATACAAGATAATAATAATAAGACAATTAGGTGACTTACCTATAATATCCAGTCCTCTTCTTTCGACTTCCTCGACGCACCTTTTAACAATAATTGGAATATTGTGTTGGGCACTAGAAACTAAGCCTGTCGCGACCCCTCCAGGAACTCCACCAGTCTTACTTTCTCGATTTACCTGAAAGATCAACACTTGAAGAAGTTTCTCTAAATCGTTTCGTTTACTGTATTTACCACAGCTTCCAGATCGACACCGAATAGAGGTGTAGTTCTGGATAACGTCAGCGTTGAAAGAGGTCTTCTTTTATAAAGAGTTTGCGAATCGTTATGTCTCAGTCTCAAATAAAGTGTGCCTGAAAATGAGGGATGAAATGGATAATATTTGACCAAACAGTATTGTATCCAATGGACTGTATGCAAGCGAGAAGATAACACATGAAAGTTTATAGTCTATACCAGGGGTCGGCAAGTAATTTTAGGTGGGGTCCAGATACTTTTGAAAATTTTTAACGAGGTCCAGAAAAAAAATTCATATTTCTTATTTTTTTATTTTAATTTGGACTCAAATTTAATCTGCTTACTAATTAAGAACTCAAAACACTCGCACAATTGTAAAATACTAAAAGAAAATTATAAGATTGGCACTTAATCGTAAAAAACATTTTTTAAATAATTATTTGAGTAATTTATACTTTCAAAAAATTTTTGGCGGTCCAGTATTTTACCGTCCGCGGTCCGGACCTGGACCGCGGTCCGCCAGTTGCCGACCCTTGGTCTATACCTTTGAAGATGCATTAGGATTTCTTAGGTAAGCGTGAGGATTTCTAGAACATTTAGGATGTACTGGAATGTATAGTCTTTCCGAAGTCAGTCGAACATGTATAAAAACGTCTAGCAATAAAATTTAATGAGTTTCATAGGCGTCCCTAAAGAAGTTTTCTGCTAAGGATAATAATTTGTATATAATGTGTACAAAATTTCTATTACCTATTTGTCTAACAACATATTTTAATTATTTATGTTCTCAAGCAATTTTATTATATTGATGGTAAATTTCGTTTTGTTCCATTTCAAAAGGTCTTCAAAATGCCATGTTGTAATAATATGAGTAAACAAAATATCCGTCTTGTTTTTCCCTTTCGCAATTGAAATTTGAATGACTAATAGAAGGTGCCTATAATAAATAAAAATTATCTGTATCAAATTTCGCATTGCTGTACTGCACTGCTGGGCAATTTATCAACCACTTATCAACAACTGAGATTTATTGCCCAGTGGCCCAGTGCAGCTGAGTTATACACCGTTTCTCAAATATTTCAATGTCAAGTTGCTGCGTCAGCGACCGAACCTGGTACATACTGCCAACCTCTTGGTTATTCAATTGATATTGGAAAGACTATATCAAGGATTTTACCAGAAACGTATGTGATTGAGCGCATGCGCATTACGTTAATTTCTTGACAGCCCATTAAGAGTGAGCTTGTTAACAATGAAATTGCGAGTATTACAATAATTATGTAGATTTTAGTCATAATCTTATCAGACTGAGGGTGTTGTGGATAAATATTGCCCCAACTTTCAACAATTTGATCAAAGAGTTAGTAATTTTAAATTATTTGCAACGTTTTGGAGTACAACTGATTTAAAAATTATGTCACATGCAGAAATTCTGAGGAACGCAATTTATAAAAACCCAATCCATACCACAGTACAATTATACAACAATTGAACTCACTTATAATAATCACTTATTAGACAAGAAGATAAAAAAAACCTTCAAAATTGATAGTCAATAATACGTATTTATACTAAAGAAATGTTTCAATGTTGTACTGTTTATAAGGAAAGTGTTAAATAAAAAAATTGTACTTGTAATTTAGGAATATGTTCTTATACCGACTTCTTTATTTCTGGAATTACATATTTTTAAGTTTTTGAAATATTGTTGTTTCTTGTTTTTTATGACTTGCTAGAAATATTTTATAATTTGCAACATTTAAAAATAGGAGGGAAAGTTCCAATAAACACAGATCTGAAAATAGTTCCTATGTAAGCTGTACAGGCTGATGAGTCCCTGCGGCCTATATTTATTTTTAAACTTTGTTTCTTATTTACATAAAATGTACTTATAAAGTTTGGTAGTCTAACTATAGGACACCCTGTACAAGTCCCAGAAGATGTTGGTAAGTGTAATTAAAAATATGTAAGGGATGTATAATTATGGATTGGATTTATGGATGCATACGGATTTATTTAGAGGAATGTAGAAATATTTGGAACGGTCCGTACCAAAATTAAAATTTGAATCATATTAAGACTATTAACTACGTGTGGAACAATGCTGAATAAAAAATATTTCTTTTGTTATTTTTTATGTGTTGTAAGTACCGTAACATAAAGCAAATGAAAAACTGATATAATACAAACCAAAAACCCATGTAGTTTTTGGTTTCTATTTTATGATACGTTTTTCAAGTAATCGTATTTAAATAATCTGTAATACATACATACGAGTATAATTGATAAGAGAATTAATTGCTAAGAATTCAGTACCTCTGGGTTCAATTTTAAGCGCCAGTTGATGTATTGGACCAGACTTGAGCAGGGTGGGTAAATAGACGGATCCCTTGTAGCACAATTTATGTCTGTATTGTGGATCCCACGAGTAAATTAGCAGATCCAACTCCCTGTTGTTGACCAAGTCTAACTCGAAACTTTCGTCCCAGTCGAACACCAAATCGCCGGTTCTTACCTAAACGGATAAGAATATAGTACAGTCTTTCAACGTCACTCATATTATGTTTTCTTCTTGAACATTTAGGTATCATGCATGTCTTTTATATTCGCTTGTTATTGATTCATTCTTCTGTTTCTGGATTAATTGAGATTCTAGGACATTTTAGGATGTCCAGAATATATAGAGTATTTACAAATTTGGAAAGAATTCAGACCGTGTAACAAATTTGGTTTTTCTAAGTTTAAGTATAACTGAGATATTGATTTTTTTCCAAATTCGAAACCCCACTTTCAAAGCCTATAACTTCTCTTTCAAGGTTTGAAATTAGATTGACATGCCTGTGCTGCAAATACTCTAATTTTATTAAATTAATCAACATTTCAATTTACTTTAAATTCATCTTAACGTAAAAAGTTGTTAATTATATAGTGTGTCCTGTTTAAGAACCCACACAGAACAGGTGCATGTAGGAGTTCCCAAAATGTTGTTACTTAACTAAACTTACCTATATACAAAAATTGATAATAACTAATGTACAGAGTGTAAGATTTATTTATATAATTTATTTTTTCCAGTAGTACTTCCTCACTAATAGAGGGCGCCTCCGACGGCACATCGCCCGCCTTTTAAATGCCTCAACTTTTTTGAGGCTTAGTATATCGATTTGAGTATTGAAACAGTCGATTCTCTTACATTAAAAAAAACATATTCAAGTGAAAAATCATTTGGGCAGCAAAGTAAGTATGTAACATCAAATGCCATCTGACAATCATCTATTTTGCTAAATTATAAACACGATTAACTCAAACGGTTACTCCTAACGACATCAGTAAGATTTAAGTTTTTTAGGTACAAAATAATGGAGAACCGATATTTTTCAATTATCAAATCGGTTCAATGGGCGACAAAGAAGTTGTGGCAGTTAAAAAACTGAGCGATGAGCCACAAAAAGACAAAAAAGCTATAAATGAATTTGTCACCTTACCCCCCGGTTTCATAGATAAATATAAAATAAACAAATAAAATTTTGATAACCTGTATCTTCGTTATTATAAATTTTGTACCAAAACCAAGTTTGGTTAAATTACAATATTAAGGGCACTCATACATACACCTGCTTTGTATCGGATCTTAGGCGGGACACCTTGTATTTTATACCATAGAACTATTATAAAATCATTGCTTCCTTCTTTATTTATTTATAAAAAATGTGGGTTTCATTATTTTTGTTAGCAAGGCAAAATTCGGCAAAAATAAAAATTCCTTCAGTTTTTCACCAATACAAATTTCCAATGTTGAAAAAAATATTTTTTCGGCGGTTTAAACTACTACTAAAAAAATGCAGGGTCTCAATTTATATTTCGAAATACAGGGTGTTTTCACTTTAAATTTGGAAAACGCAGGAATGTATTCTCTATCAAAAATTAAGTGTAGTTTACTCTATAAAAATTTTATATAAAAGCCTTTGTTTTGGAGATACAGGGCGTTGAAGCTTAAAAAAAAATAAACACTTTTTGACATATCTCGGCTATCCACGAGTGGATTTAATTTAAACTTGGTACACATTATGCGTATTGGGGGTTCTTATAATTGACAGAATATTAGTACTATCGCATTATCCAGTGGCGTTCAAAGGGGGGATGCGTGGCCTCTTTTTCAAAAAAAAAGTACGCCATTGAGTTTTTCGAAGAATATAAAGTAAATTTAAATACTACCATACAAAAGCAATATAAAAGGTCACTTGGTATTTTTCGATAATACGCAACGTTTATGAGATTCTTGGACTATTAAGATTTCAATGCATGAAAAAAAAAAAAAATTACGACATTGAGTAGAGGAAAGTAATGAAAATATTTATAAGTTCTTGGCTTGCTGCGAAACAAAATAGTTGCTATAAATTTTAATGCGGCATTTGGATCCAAAGAAAAATATCTCTTTTTCTCATTCAACACTACCGTGCCATGTTATCATGCATTGGAATCTTAAAAGTCCAAGAATCTCATGAACGCTGCGTATTATCGAAAAATACCAAAAGACCTTTTAGATTGCTTTTGTATGGTAGTATTTAAATTTACTTTACATTCTTCGAAAAACTCAATGTCGTATTTTTTTTTTTTTTCATGCATTGAAATCTTAATAGTCCAAGAATCTCATGAACGCTGCGTATTATCGAAAAATACCAAGAGACCTTTTAGATTGCTTTTGTATGGTAGTATTTAAATTTACTTTACATTCTTCGAAAAACTCGATGGCGTACTTTTTTTTTGAAAAAGGAGCTACTTTACACGCCACTGGCTAATGCGATAGGACTAATATTCTGTTAATTATGAGAACCCTCAATACGCATAATGTGTACCAAGTTTATATCAAATCTACTCGTGGATAGCCGAGATATGTCAAAAAGTGTTTTTTTAAGCTTCAACGCCCTGTATCTTCAAAACAAAGGCTTTCATAAAAAAATTTTATAGAGCAAACTACACTTAATTTTTGATAGGGAATACATTCCTGCATTTTCCAAGTTTAAAGTGAAAACATCCTGTATAGTTATTTATGGTACTAGTATGTTAAGGTATATGTAAGTAATGCTGGGAAATGTTTAGCTAATTTTCCCAAGTGACTTATATGACGTAACACACGAGTGCCATACAAAATTTTATCCAACACTTTCATAGAATTTCGTTTTAATAATAAATAAAAGTAACTTAAAATTTCAAGTTGTCAATGTCAGAAAAAGTTTAACGAAATGAATGTCAACCTAAATTGTGTCTGTAACCAAGGCACGGCAAATAAAACAACCAGCAATAACACATCCTCTTTTTTTCACATCTGCGCACGTTCTCGCGCATGACATTTCTTGGTAGGAAATCCGTCAAAATGCTGTCAGTAGCGTCGTAGCGTCTATAACCGAGTTTAGTTTATTTAACTTTGCTGTTGCAGTAAAGTCATAGGCGTGCATTTGTTGAATTAGTTGTTTGTGAATAGTTGTTTATAATTTGGTGTAGTACTGACATAGTGTGAGACTAACGTTATTTGTTATTTAAGTATAACAATGTATAAGACAATGAGTCATGGTGTTTGTGCAGTGAGAAGTTGTAGAAATCAGAGATATTCTTCAAAGAAAAGTTTCTTTAGATTTCCTGCTGATACAACAAGGTATGTGTAGTGCTAAAATGTGAAAAGATTATAGTTTTTACACCAATTATTAAATTGACATTATAACCTACATATAACATCCTTATCTAAAATGGTTGGTTTATAAAAAAGTATTAGTCCTAACTTAGCCGTAACTTAACCTTAATCTTAGTCCTAAAAAGTTAAATGTACAAAATATAATATATAGAGGTAGGGCAAGGTTAAAAGATTTTTATAAACCAATACATTACATTCTGTACATTTAACTTTTTAGGACTAAGATTAGGATTAAGTTACGGATAAGTTAGGACTAATACGTTTTTATAAACCAACCATAAGTTTAATCAACCAAAATGAATCTTGGCCTAAAAATTGATGTTTTATTTTTTTTATACAGAAGTAGGACATGGGCAATAGCCAGCAACCGGGAAGATTTACTGGACAAGTTGGATAGTCTTTATAAAAACTATAGACTTTGTAGTGAACACTTTGAGTCCCAAATGTTTGCGAATAAAGATCGGAGCCGACTAAATTCAGACGCAACCCCAACACTATTTCCCACAATGGAAGGATCTTCAGGGTATTCGGCTACTACCGTAGTTTGCATAGATTATTCAAAGGCACGTGAAGAGTTAGACGACTCTTCGCTTTATATTTATTTTAAAGCGTACAAAAACGCTGATGGTGATATCTTCGGAAATTTGCACAATCCACATGACAAGTTTGTAGATTTTATTTCAAATTTGGAAATAATTTTCCAAAAAAATTTTGAAAAAATTATTTTAGAATCTGACATATGTACAAACTTTTTGACCATTTGTAATAATTATGACCATCCTTGTGTAGATTTTCCAAAAACATATGTAATATTGTTATATATTAGGCTAAGATTGTATTATACTCTTAAGGATATAAACAAAAATTTTCAAAATATAAATAAAAACAAATTAATGGCGACATTTGTGATCATTAAGTATTCATAAATGTACATACTTAATTTATTTAAGTTATGATTTAGTGTTAAGTTCTTTTAAAATGGAATAAAATTTAAGACTTATTAAAATAAATGTTTTTTTTTTAATTTCCCTTTACAAAATAGTAGTTCCAATATATTTATTTATTTATTATTAAAAATCATCAAATAACTTTTCAGCCACACATTACACACATTATCTTTAAATTTCTTGCAATATTTTAAGTGCAATATTTTTTTGTACTTACCTATACTACTATAATTATATATATTGTACGAAAGACACTAGTTGATTTAGTCAAAATATATAAAGTAACAAGTAAATATACGGGTATAATGAGTATATACATTTAACAATCCATTAATATTATAAATTTTATATTACAACTCTGTTGAAGGAAATTCATAACTTATAAATATTTCAAATACAGCCCTGACTTTTCCTACCCAACTGACATTAGCAAGGTCAAATTTAATTTTGCGCGGGAAAGATGTAGTGATATTGCTGGTTGTTTTATTTGCCGTGACCAAGGGATGTCAGTAAACACAACACAAACAATATTTTTTGGGTTGAAATCGCGTTGAAATCCTAAAACCAAGACTGAAAAAATGGAAAATGTGGAAATTCCATCTGAAATTTTAGAAAAAGCTAATGCGGCTACTGCAGGCATCATTCCGGAGAAATCAAAATCTATATATAAGAACTGAAGGAATTTCAAGATTGGAAAATCAAAATACGGGTGAAGGGCGTAAATGAAGATGTCGTGCTGGCTTATTTTTTCAATTTAAGTGAGAAATTTGCTCCATCCACATTGTGGACTAAATATTCCATGTTGAAGTCAACTTTGAGAGTTTACAAGAACATTGAAATTTCTAAATTTGGAAGACTAGTGGCATTTCTAAAGTCTAAGCACAAACATTTAAATTTACCACAAAATGATTCCAATAATCCTTTGGCATCAAATTACCATAAATGTTAATGTTAATATTAATAAGTAGGTAGATTATAAGTTTGTAGCATTTTAGGTTATTTGTTGACTTATTACTGTTTCAAATTGGTTTTCTAATAAAAACTAGAAAAATAAACCAAACATTTGTCTTTTTATGATTTCTATAAGTCACTAGTGGGTTATAAATCATAACTTACTAGTGACTTATGACTTATAACTGACATAAGCCACATTATTTCTCTAAAACCAAAGAAATTATAGTATCATTATATACAAGTGTTGGATAAAATAATTTGTCAGTTGACTACTAAAAACTAAATATCGAAATCAATAAAAAATAATTTTTATTTAAAAGCAATTAATTAACTTACCACTGTTCTGGCTTTGTGCACTCTGTCGCATTCCAATACACAATATAGGTCTCTCAAACCAGTTGATCCTAAAGTTAGATAAATCATAATAAATTAGTGCAATTGAAATCTGTCAATTTATATAAATCAATCACAAATTATTCGTGGTCCACTTTTTGATTTGACTGCGAAATATATATTTAATCAAAACGATAGAAAAATCACAAGGAAACATGTCTATAATTGAAGGTGTTAACAGTAACACTAGAAGTACTATAACATTTTGTTGGCAAAAGTTATTTATAAAAATAAAGGGAAAACGTAAAACACAATATCGGAATGGAACATAAAATTTATATTTTTATTTGATTGGGTATTTCTGTCACACTGAAAAGGGAAAAATTTTATTAAATATCACTGCACCAAAAGAATCAGACAAAGGGTTGATTTTATAAATTTCGTTTAGCTTAATCAGAAATATTTCACACTAAGAGAGCAGATAATTGTTCACGACACAAAAATCACTATAACATATTACCAAAACTTTCGTTCTCAAATTGACTTAAAAGTCAAAAAAGTGTTAATGATAACATGACAGAACTGTCCACGTTTATTTTGTTACGTGGTGATAGGTGCATTTGAAATAATTCCTTAAATTTTGATTTTTGTTGGTTGAATATTGTCAACGACGAGGTAAGTACCAATAAAATAAATATTACATAAATAAAACAAAGAAACTGTCACATTTAAATTATGTCAATTTAAGAACGAGTTTTGATAAGGATAGCAAATAATTTTTCGAAAAGTAGACTGTGTAATATATTTTAGTGATAAATGATTTATTTTCTCAGTGTGAGATATTTCTAGTTAGGCAAAACGAAATTTATAAAATCAACACTGATGCTTTCGGAGCAAGGGATTATTTATTAATTTTTTTCTCTTTTCAGTGTGGCAAAAGATCCAATCAAATAAAAAAATGCTACAAATAAATTATTACAGACAATATAAAATTTATGTTAATTAAATAATTTTGGTAGATACTAGGAGGTACTAAATTTAATAAAGCAAAGCATTGCTACTTGTTAAAAAAACATACCTACCAGTCTAAGTAAAGATATAAAGAAAGCATGATTTCTAAAACACAATTTTTGAAGAGATAAGCTGTTTCTGACACAGATGCATTTAAAAAATATAATGGTTTTTCAAATTATTATTTCAGTACCTATAATTCACATATCTCACTGCGAACTAGTTATACTCGAACAAGATAGACATTGGGAGTTTTATCAAAAATAGTAACAGATTAAAAAAAGTAGTAAAGGATTTAAATCCATAAATAATTCTCCATTTCTTCTTAAAAATATCACATTTCGTCAAATCAAGTTTAAGATTTTGAACTTAATCGAATTAATGTACATGAAGATATACATAAATCATAGAATAATACTCTAATCGCCTACAGGTAAAAAATATATCTGCGTCAGTATAGTTCATATAAAATGCAGGCTATAAACAAAAGCTGGTAAAAAATGAAGGTGAAAGTTCATACCCTTCTTTGAAATGTTATGAGATGATGCTTTAAGTAGCATTGTACAGAATAAGCCACGTATAGTTCTGCCCCAATTTCAAAACTATTTTCAAATTATGAACATGGAAATGGCATATAATTGTTTTTTCATAACATGTCCAAAAATAGACTCAGTAACAGATGTTTTTTTAGGCTTAGATTTAGGATATTCGTATGTTAAACAAATAAACACCCTGTACATTTTATATGACTGAAATTCTGATTCGTACATGTGAATTCAACATTGTAAATAAATAAAATATTACTATTACATTAATTCTTGGCTTTGAATAAAAATAGCAATGCTTGCTGTAAATGCTGGTATGGACACTAAAATAAAATATTTTTATTTGCTCTTTTCGATGAAGCGTCTTACGTTTTGTTAAATTTAACTCAAAAGGGAAATAAAGATAAATTGCATCGAGTCGCATACAATGTAACAGTCAATAGTGACTTGAAGTGTTGAAAACAGGTAAATTGGTAAAGTGCCAAGTATCCTGAAATTTTATCGCTTGCACGAAACCACAAGTTGCATTCTATTCATGAAGACATAAAACATTTATTGTTGATATATTTATTACTTTTTATTCTACTGGTGCACACATAATACACTAAAGATGTGTGAAATGTTAACTTGCAGCAGTCAGTTAATATGGAGGATTTTCACATATACATAATCCCGTTCATGTTTCAAAAAAACTTGTATGCAAGTTTCTCATGGAAAATAATAGGGGTAGTTAAGTTAGTTGTTAATTATTAACCGTAATCTGTTTATTTTGATTTACTTTTTTAAATGTTAGTTTACAACAACTTAAAATAAATATTATTTTTTTTTTAGTTAATAAAACGTTTTACAATTTAACTGTTTCATGTGATACGAAAGAAATTAAAATTATAGTCTTAAATGCAAATACTGTTGGTAGCTAAATGTCTTCAGCTCATTCAATGGTAAGATCTTTCAATTTAATATTTTGTTAATGTACTAGTGCCACTTTATGTGAGCAAAAAAATGCAACTTCATTTTTCTCGAAATTGGTATATGCTACCGAATTTCGACAAGTACGTATACCTTTTTTTGAAGTATCCTTTAGAGTTTACAGAACCGTTTAGAAATGTAATAAATTTTTACTTTTAACATATATTTTCTTCGCTTGTACCCCTTCAATTACTTGTATCGGTGACACTGCATTTCAGAAAGAAACCGTTTGCACATTATTTTTAACACACAGTTGATGTTTCCTCGTGTACAAATTTTGAACTTTTTACTTTTAGCCAAATTAAAAATAATTAAGGAAAACCATTTAGAAAGTAACAACTTCAACTGTATCTCAAAAACAGGGCGTCTAAAAAAAAATTTACATCAACTACCCCTATTATTTTCCCATGAGGAACTTGCACACAAGTTTTTTTGAAACATGAACAGGACACACTGTATAAAGTATCCGGAAAGTTCATTAGTATTTTTTTTAGTATTTTAAAGAATTTTATATTTCTAAAAACCCTTCTTGAAGTTAATGAAATGAAATTATATGAAATAGATCATTAAAGACTATTCCTATTTAATTAGTAATATAAAATTTTGATTTTTGTTTTCTATGAGGCTTCAGTAACTAATAAAATACAAAATTGCTATACCAATACCAACATTCGTTGAGTATGGCCACTTTCAAATTATAAAACTTTATTTAAAGAAAAAGTAAATAAATAAATATTTCCCTATTTTTTATTCGTGAAACCTCTTTAAGAATAATAATGCGGTTCCTTTCCAAATAAAAATCTGTTTTGCAAGTTTTAACCGATCAATAAATAGCATATCACATTAAAATGAAGGGGGAACGGAACTTCCCATATTTCCCAGAATTTATGAGGGTCGCGCCCCAATTATTCATTCTGCCCGCTCCACCGCTGTTACTGATAAAGATGTCGAAAAATATCAAAGCCAATATTTCTTTCGGAATTATATAGACTCTCACATTGAGAATACTTCATTTCAAATTTATCGTTTATTTATTTGTTTATTAAGTTTAAGAATTGCGTATCATCAGTCCATGATTGTACATAGATAAACCCTAGAAAATAATAAATTTTACAGGATCGTATTCAGACTCATATCTATATTTGTCGTTAATAATACGTAATTGCGCTAATTACAAATATCATCTTCTGCGATGGAAAAGAAAAAATTGAGATTAATATTCCATACTGATCAAGAAAAAGAATCTTGTTTCCTCACAACATTGCCCACTGCTCTCCATCCATCATACTGTCCAAATCTAACACCATCAGATTCTCACTTGTTTAAACTTTTTAAAGAACGTTTTTGTAAGGCTTGCTAGTTGTTAATGAGGCAATTGAAGGGGTGAAAAATTGGTTACTACATAAAAAACTTTTTCATAAGCTTATGGATAGGTAGACCAGTGGTGCAATAAAGTAGATGGACTGTGTTAACAATTCTTATTATTTAATAAATTTCTCTCTAAAATATACTGCCGTACAAAATATGCTATGTGGTGAGAAAATTGTAAGTGAAAATTGGAAATAAAACACAGTTTCTGTACAGATTATTCAAGAAAAGCTGAAGATATAGACTTCAAAATTGCTTCATATAAAATTTGAGCATTTACAATTTGACATAATACATATTATTGATATATTAATACATTATTAATATATATAATATACAGAAACATAACAATCCCAATTGGCCAATAAGTGATACATAATTTGCAGTATGACTGTAAAAACCAAATTTCATAGCAAGGAGTTGCTACTCCTATAATATTAAAAACTATTTTACGTATTATTTAACTACATGATATACATATAGGGTGATTCACAACTCATACTCATCCAAAAAAAAATGGGAATAGATGCGTCATGAAAAAGATGGAATCAATAGCGTAATTTTTTTTTATAATATCTTTATAGTTTCCGAGCAAAAAATTTTAGTATTTACAACCCTTACATCGCTGAGTTACTGTAGTTTCTAGCGTTATTCGCGTTGTGCGCTGTAGCTCCATGTGGCCCTAGGCGATACCGAACACTGAAGTTTGATGTTAGTATTAACGTAATCGCGATAGTGTTTACATTAGTTCTTCAAGTGTCAAAAATGGCTTACGTGTATAGCAATTCGGGAGTCTATGGATATCGTTTTATTTATAGTGGATCAAGATAACATTTGTGTTATGGTGAAGTATTTGTGTTGTGTTATCGTGAAGCAAGACAATATTTGTGATGGAAACTGGGTAAGACGGGCCCAAATGTGTTTACACGTCGGTGGACAAAATTTTGAACAGTTGTTGTAACATCAAGTATGTCAAATTATTTTATTAATTAAAACCACGAATTAATTTTATTAATTAATAATACCAACAGCGGCAAAAGCAGTTGAATTTGCTGATATAAAATAGGTGTTATAAAATTTTATTTATTTCTTTCCTTGGGGATGAAATTCTTTCAATTTTTTATTACACTTTGCCGCCGTGCCGGTCGGTGACTGCATGCTTTGCCTTGCGCCAGGTGAGGTTTTAAAGTGGGCCAGTTTCCAGTGCCGTGCAGAAATGTATTTTTAATTCATTCTCAAACTGCCCTTTTTAATTTTTTTTACAAAATTGTATTTGTAACTGTCCCTGTACATTCAATTTTTTTTATAAGATCTGAATCACCCTGTATACTTAGATTTTGTTACTGAATTGAATGCAATCCTGTTATACTCCATTCATTTGTCGGCTTTAGTTATAATGGACTCGTAGTTAATAGACCCGAATGTTATTAAACCTGCAATCTTACATACATTTTTTTTATATAGTTTTGAAATTATAAGCAGCGCTATCGGTGGCTCACTCTGTACCTACCGCTAATACTTGGTGAAGCTCCGCTTGGCGTTACTGGGGTAGTGGCAGCGGAAGTACCTGTGGACGCCCGTAGTCCTCTTCCAGCGAGGAGGTGCACCCAGAGCATACCGCTCACAGGTTCGTCGCTGGCTGACATCATCGCGCCAGTTCCTGCGGCTAAAGATGAGAGACCTAAAATTAATTTACAAATCAGCGAAGCGCTGTGTGTCATAAAATCCGTGAAATGAAAGAAAACTGGACTGGCGTTTTGCAGACATTCAAATTATTTCATAAATGCAAATTATGAAAATTACAAGAACCATTAGAAGCCGCATAAGGCATAATTTTACATGTTGTTGAGGTCTATGATTAAGAAATAGATAACAAACGTTTAAAGGTGTCTGTTGAACATCAAACACATCGTCTACTAGGATGTCCGAAAGCAGCAATATGCATGGAAAGAATACAGAAACGGACCGGCAAGAAAAAAACAGCTTGAGGAGAAAAGTAAATCCTTTTTGATTGTCACATAACAAAAAGGATAACTGATGATTTCTATATAAATTTAAAACCAATTCCAATACGCAGAAGATTACTTACCGCCATAAAACAAAAAGTAGATTATCCTTATGGGCCAAGGACATTAAATAAACTAGCCTCGAGAGAATTTGCGATATAAATGATTAAGTAAAAGAAGCTTTACTATCTATGGATAAATAGTGATGTGAGGGAAAATAAATGTTGGCAAAATGAAAATACTGTTCTAGTTTTAGTTTTGTGAAGAGGCAGAGTTAATTTTTCGTTCTGGACTGACAACTTACAGGCAGATGAACTGAAATAATTTCGAAAAATAACTAAGACTCAATCAGCTTCTCCCCTATACACCTGTGTCAAATCTGTAGTCGGTGTTCAATACACCTCATACCACTTTCATGTTGAAGAAAAAATTGCGACCAAGAAATCTACGAAATCAGAAATGATTTCGTGGTTCAACAAAATAATCTCAGCCACGATATATTATTGTGAAAATCTCAGTCATATGAAGCAATATCAGCAAATAAACCACGTCATAAATTCAATCCATTTTTCTCCATAGACATTTCTTTAAGAATGCCTCTTTTTACGTGTCTCTTAAACCATAATGGGTTAGCTTAGGCAGCAATTAAACCAAAACATCACTGGCCAATTATCGGTCGTTAATTTATTAGGGCGGAAAAATTTAATGGACCTTAGATGAAATTATCATCCACTTGAGATCTTGCGATAGTGACGGTGTCAATTTAACAACATTTTCTGAACATAACGACAATAACAATTTATTGAGAAAGAACTGAGCTGCTTATCCATTACTGTTTTCGTAAGAGAACGCTCTATTCGTGTAGTTAAAAATATGAAGGATGATGTACCTATATCAAAAGTTTACTGAGACATTATTTGGCATCGCTGGACTTACCTGTGATGGAAGTGCCCCCTACCATTCCAGGCTTGTCGATCTTGTACTTCAAAAATTCCGCCGGATTTATGTCGAGCTGCCTCTGTCCCCTTGGCAGAGTACCACTAGGAGTGGGCACTGGACTTGGTGCAGCCCCGGCCCTCACAGAATCCAAATCGAGGAGTTGCCTCATTCGACGCATCGATGGGGATCGGGAGCTACTCAGTCCTTTAAAAAATAAATTTGTTATAAGGGACGTTTAAATTTAAATTCTAATTTAAATGAAACTTTAGGGAAACAAAGCAAATGTGGAACATGTAAATACTAAAACACGTGAGAATAATTTTTTGTTCAATTGTTATTGTCATATAAACTTGATTCATCCTACAAAATATATGACTTTGCATACCAACGATCGTTTTCAAGAAAAAAATTCAAATGAACACTTCTATTGTTAATATTTCAAAAATATTAGAGATAATTATATTAAAGTTTAGAAAATTGTTATTGCTATTTTCTCTAGCTTTTTTTTTTCATGTGAAAATTGTATTTTTATCTGCTCCCACTATAGTAAATAGACTATTAATACATTGTTTTTAAGGAGATAAGTGGATTTTACCGTAGAAGTGGAAGTTGCTATGGACAACGGGAGATCAGTGAGGTAACTTACCCCCCTAAGGAAAAAAGCGATTTCGAGTTATAAATGCATGTTTTATGAAAAAATAAATAGAAATATTTGATGAACATTACATTTTATTAATTATTATGAATGAATATTTATAGTAATTGTACAGTTATTACATTTAGTAACATTTATAAAATCTGGATAATTATTCCCCTCGCGTTTACTAATTGTCACGTTTTTCTCAAAATTATTTGACCGCTACATTTCAGTCACCGGAGACTCAATATTATCTGACTGATCCATTAAAATAGCATGATGCGACGTACTACTAGAACCTGGAGTTGAAGTGTCATTGTAAAGAATCCTGTTGGCTATTTGATTTTTGTTACTTAAATTGTCAGTAACATAACTTTCTGCAATTGTGGCTGATTTCCACCCACCATGTCTCTTGATTGCTAGTACATCAACTCCTGTATTAGTCAGTAAAGATGTCGATGTTCTTCGGAATGAATGGCCTGTATATGTTTCAGGATGTTCTAGTTTCAAAAACTGTGCAATCTTATTAGGAATCATAGAAAGGGTATTCTTGCCGACTGGTTGGTTGTAACATCTACTTGCTTAATAGTGCATAAAAAAGTGTGAAATTTCAATTTTAATTCCCAATCTAATCTTGTTATATTTCTTGAGAATTTCTAGGTGAGAAACAAAACCCAGACGAGAAGTACCATTACTAAACGCACCAAAAAGAGATAGAATGATGGTATAAATGTTTTCATAGTCTCAATCTATCACAGACAACCGTTCCAATATTTTATATGTATTAGAGTGAAAGAAAATGGAGGACGTTTGTTGGGTGTTAATTTTAGACTATAGTTTGACTAGCACATTTAAAAAAAGAACTGACACTCAGATTAAACATTTGACAGTTGTTTTGATCGCGTCTCCGTACTAACTGTTATATCTCTTTTCTCAGCGTTGAAATATCGATTTTTTGGCATATTTTCACACCAGTATTAAAATTTGCGAGATAACCAGATTTGGGAATTGTCAAGATGACATTTCAATTATATGAAAACAGTGACTAATTTGACTAGAATGTTTCGTCTTAGTTCATACGAATATTGCTTGTGACGCAATGGAAAAGATACAACGTTTTTAGTGTATCTCCTTTATGGTGTAAATAATAACTATTAATTATCTCAAATTTGCTGCCAATGAAAATATTATCAAACTGTCAAAATTTCGTTTAAAGTAATAATTGAACGTTTTGTTTTCATAGCACTCTGTAAAAATAAATAATTTGGTATTTTGACGAAAATAAGAAAATAAAATATATCTTGAGATACATCATCGTAATCATAAAATAAAAAATATTGCATTTCCCCACAAAAAAAATTCCAAAAATGTCTGAGTTTAAAAAATCCACCTTTTCCGTTACATATTAAATAGAATAAAAGCGAAAGCCAGATTTTCTGTTTTTCGTTGATAATTTCTCTTCGGCAAGTTACTGGTCATCAAATTTCGTTACTTTGTCCTCATTTGACTGACATTGTATGTCTTAAAATAACCGAGATCCCGTTAATGAGACTCAAAAAGATTAAACATTTTAACCCTTTTACTTCTGTTTTTTAGTGGTAGTTGGGCCTTGGTATATTCTCAATTTCAAATTTATTTGAAATTACGGAATTATTTAGTTGAATTAAGCAGAATTTTTAATGTTCACCAAGAGATAAATTTAACAATTGATTTAAATATTATATTCCTGATTTAAACGTTATTGAAACGCACTATATTTATTAACAACTTTACGAATATCAGTTAATAGCATAATATAAATTTTTGTATAAAACTACAGGATATCAAGGGATTTTACACTGAGTTTATTTTGTGTAAACGTCGAAAACACCAACTCCAATAAATTTTTGTGTTCGTTAGGAGAGACCACAGCAATTTGGAAATCCTCTCTAGTTTGGAACAGCTGTGCCTTCACCGCGTTGATTGATGAAACTTCAAATTCTACATCCGTGCCAACAAAATAGTGGTCAGGGAAAGTTGACAAGGGATTGTATACATATTAATTAACTTTACGGGATTAGAGAAAATTCCGTTGTTACCCGTATCTATATATAACCGTAAAACTAAGGTTTATACCGTGCAAATTATAAAATATACCTGCCACAACTTTCGGTAAAATTCATGGCACGGGGAAGGAAAATAGTGAACCTTTATATTTCGGATAGTTTTGACTCTATCGATGTTTAATGCGCTTAGCGTAAAAAGTAAATCTTTTACGGCACGTAAGGTAACGGTGAATTTGTATGTAGGGGAGACAAATAAAAAAAATGGTTTTCAAAAGCAAAAAAAGTGAAAATTTGTAACAACGACATAGTCCTGTTGATATGTCGATAAAGGTGTGTGGAGCGGCTGTAGCGTTTTCGGTAGTTTTCAGAGTTATTTTGTGATTGTTTATCGTTTTCCCTATAAATAAAATACTCTACAAGCACTATTTTAGAATAGGTACCATGACAAAATCAATTTTGATCTTATTTTACGAAGTTCTGATTTGCTAGAATTTATATAAATGAATTTATATACCAGTGATATTTTATTTTATCCATGATCGTAGTGATCATGGATAAAATCATGTCCAATGCGTTTGTTTGTTGGCGAATTCTGTATTTTTTTTATTATATTATAACGTTGACAAACTTTCTAAGGTTCTCCTTTCTTGACTTCTAATAGCTAGTTCTTCAAATTTACTACAAACACAGAGTTGTTCTTTATTTGTGGCAATACATATATTTCCAGTTAATATGTATCTTCTACAAAGAGTTTTGTCCAGTTCTGGTTTGGCAGTTACGGTTGTGGTTGAAGATTTCTTATTTCAGGAAAATACATTAGAATTTCTTCATCTTTGATCTTCAATAGTTTTTGAGGAAGATTTAATCATGTCATCAGCTCCAAAAATAGCATCAGCGGTGGTATCTGATACCAGGACATCTTGTTGGAAACTGATTGTCCTAAAGTTGTCTCTGCTAGATGAATTCCTTTCAAGGATATGATTTTTCCCCACTCGATGTTTCCAAAATTAAGTTTCTGTCTGGCGTTTATATTCGATGGGCGACGATATTTACAGCAAATCCAACACTTAATGGATCATCGTTTGCTGAATACAATAGAAACGATACGATGATGACCTTTCTTAAAGTTGTCCAATAAATCTTATATTGTAATATAAGTATTGTAGTTCGACAAAAAATAAGTAAACGTAGTTGTGGCCAAAATTATGTGTGATCGTCATAAGAAATCCCTACGTTGTGTGTATTTATTTTTTTTATTGACCGGAAGGCACTGGCTACTAACTTTATAGAGGGGATGTATGGTTTAATTATATAAAACAAAAGTAGAGTAAATACACCTAACCTCTATTTACATACAATTCAAATTAAACATGTGACAAATATAAAGAACAACAAAAACATTAACAACCATTTAACATAAAATGAGAGGGCCAGGCTCACCTAGAGCTCCTGCGGGGAAAGAGCATGGCAGAGAAACCCACGATCGTTGCTCTTACCACCGAAATATAAATACAAAACAACCGCTAACCAAAGGCATAAATTAAGAACCTTTACTAATGATAAATAAGACCTGTGTCATTTAATGTGTCACTAAATGTCATTTGTTACCTCATATTAGTCATACACACTTCCAACTAAAACTGAAGAGGTTTGGGGTTAGTTAGCCGGCAGAGCCGGAAGGTACTGGAGTCCCATACGGGAGGCAATCCAGCTATAGTTGAGATTTCGGAAGATCCTTCATAACACTGGAGTCCCATACGGGAGGCAATCGAGCTTAATCCAGATTCTTTCCGCACGGGCGAAAATGTTAGTAAATTCAACAAGGCTCGTATAGACGTATGACATAAAGTGAGCACAAGAAATCAAAGAACAACGTAGTCAGGACAAGTTAAATGTGAAACAAAGAGGTCGTTAATGCAATATTTGGGCAGTCACGACAATATACATATTTTAACATGTAATAAATAATGAACAATCTTTAATAATATTTGTAACAATTTTATACTAGAAAAATATACGCCCCTAAGCGTAAAACAATGAAGGCTAAACATATACAGAATTATTATCATGAAACATCTATAAACATCACAATCATAAAATTACATAGAACAATTAACAACAAAGTACTAAAAGAATATTACCTGCTAACTAATAACACTTTAAACAATTAACTTTTCACTACTTTGACACACTGTCCGCCGATCGTCTTGTTACCTATCTGCACACTGTTCTCACTTCAACTGCCTATCTTCAACTATTTAGGCTTCCTTCCAGAATTTCCTACCTAAGTGCCTGTTTTTTGTGCTTCCTTCTATCGACCGTTAATATTACTTTTTCATTATTATACAACACCTATGTAACAGGTGACGTCGAAATTGATAAGATAAGTACGGTTTTCCACAATATTCCCTTCAGCAACTTTTCCACAATCTCCTCAACTTTTTGTTATTCACCTACCTGGAACCAAAGTGTCTTGCTCTGTCCTGACTGTCTGAGTAAGCTAATTTCACCATATGTGCTATATCCGTTTAATTTTGCTGCACGTTTTTTTCGGAGCGTTATGTTCTAACCTTTAGTTGTGCCTGGTAAACTATTTTAGATAAGTGCTTCACGACATCTTTTCATCAGATGCAGTGGATTCAATTTTTGGTGGGATTGGATTACCTTCAGTCTTATCAACTTCTTTGATTGATAACTGTGTACAACTTGGACGTTGTCTTGTACATCACTCCTCAATTTAATTGATAGTTTCTTCAACAGTCCAGTTTTTTCTTCCAATTTCTTATTATCGTCCTGTAAACTAGTCTCTATCTCTTGTAAATTACTTTTCATTCCATTTCTTAATTTCTCCTTGTTGATCTTCTGATCTTCTAAATTGTTCTTCATTTTATCTGGCTGTTATTCGCCTTTCAAATCTTCTTTCATTTCCTTTATCAGTTCCGTTATTTATTTTATTGTTTGGTCCACGTTTGTGGATTTTGTTCGATTAACTGGCGTTCCCGAACTCCAATCAAGTATTCGTGGAATATCCCACTTCTGATACCGATATAACATTGACGGGAACTTAACCTCCAAATTTAAAATACACTTACTGTGACAATTCTGACTCTCACGTTTGATTTCTCGAAGTTGATTGTGCAGGAACCAAATTAAATTATTCTTGGAATCATTTAGAAATTATTATACCTAATAAAGATACTAAAATTAGTAATATAATAGGCATGAACTTAATTAAGAACAAGTTTATGTGAGCTTCCGTAGCAATATTGTATGTATGAGTATTTCTTGATTTTCATCCATTTGATTTTTGATATTCAAATAAATCACCTTGTTTCTATGGTTTTTAAATAGAAACTAACAATTAAATAGATTTTGTGGGTTAAATGCATGCATTTGAAGAAACTCTATTAGTATTATTATGGTAACAATAGAAGATTATACTTAGATACTGAAACAATAGTACTTTATATGTAAATTTAAAAAATATATAGCTATCTACTTACCCGTTGATGATGACGTGATATGTTGCGTTGATAATGATCTAGCAGGAATGCTAGGTTGTTGAGATCTGGTAAAATGCCTGTCCAACGTCGTTGTCGTCCCTGGTCGGCCATAACCACTGTATAAACCACTTTCCATCTAGAAAATTGAGAAACGTCTTCATAAGCAGACAATATTTATACTGCTAAGGTCACAACACTCGCTGAATGAAATAGTAAGCTTCCGTATATAAAAATGTAAAATATTTGTATATTTTCGTGCCTTTCAGTTTCAAGTCATGACTTCTTATAATTAGTGTGCGAACCACTGCAATATTTTGTTTAAGCAATCTATAAATTACTTATATTAAACAATGGTTATAAAAATCATTATAAAGAATTATTATAAATGTATAAATACAATTGTTTGCAATTAAAGCTTTAGAATTTTGCGATAACAAAAAGGTCTGTTTTGAATGAGCATGTATGAAATAAAATGTATTTGATACAAAATATATTTTTATTCAAGCGAAAACAAATAGGAAAATATAATTTGTAGCGACTATACACAATTGTTTCATCATATTAATTACTGAAACGTGAAAATTTAATTTCTGCCTCGATGTTATATTAATTAGTGCAATTAATTTTCAGTAACTTGGAATTATTGTTTTTTATCATATTTTACGCTAACCTGCTTTTAATAATTAGTATACAGATAGTATGTATTTTCAATATTATTTCATTAGGGAATTTATAAATAAATGAGAAAGGAAATATGTGCTTCCACTGTACTTTTATCAAATAATCAACTCTTGAATATCACGGTTAAAGGTTACCAGAAAATTAATTTAAGAAAATAAAGAAATTTTCATGCGTTTAAATATTCCAGAACAGTTCTTCAACCAGCATGAATATTTTCTTTCATTATGTTTAAACTACTAGAATTTTTTTTTGTGAAACAGATGTAGTAATTAGGAACTTTTTAGGGAAAATATTCCAAAATATTTTTATTCAAGATGACCTGAAATATACAATGGGTTTCAAATCTAATTAATTAAGAATATGTTTTAGTTACTGATAAAATATTTTTTAAGAACAAGGACAGTTTTCAATATTATTGGCGTAACTAGAGCTTTTCTAATTCTTGAGTATTATTTAGGCATTACAAAATTGATCACTAGGTAATCAAAAAATTGGTTTGTTAAACTTGGGCTCGAAAAAAATCTTGGTAGTGTTGTTAAAAATCTGGTGATGATTTGAATCTCTTTTTCAGTTGTGGGGGTAGCTAAAGTCAAAATAAATCTTTTTTGAGATTTCTTTTTAATGGAATGAAAAGTAAGAGGGTAATAATATTCAGAGATATTATTAACCATGTCTTTAAGCGTTAAAATAAAAAGTTACTCATAAATAGTACAAAATGGAGCCATTTTGAACCATTTAAATTTGAATATAGAAAAAAACAATAGATATTCTTTTTATCCGCATCATTATGATTAGAGAAATACATAGGGAATTTTGAAAACACTAATTTTTTTGTGATTGGCGGCATTTGAAGTAAAAAGTTCAATTTTTGACAAAACAAGAACAATCATTTGTCAATAAATAATGTTAAAATCAACTAATCGAAAATCCCGTGATACTTCTCTTTTACAAAAATTTGAGACTATTCTATAATAGTTTCGAAAAATTATGCGGCGTTGCCAGATTTATTAAAAATATTAAAATATTGATTTTTGAGGTTGAGCCGAAAAAATGCTCTATTTGCTCAACTTAAAATTCAATATGGTGCCCATAAGAAGAAAAGAAAGTCGATGATGATTTCTCGCAACTGAAACGTCGCAATGACAATGTAAATATACAGAGAATTTCCTCGAAAAACTTGTTCTGAAAGAGTGTTTACAGATTTTAAAAATTCCCCTAAATAAAAAAGTACAGACGCTTTTCGAAAACGTTACATTTATTTTTTTTTCAAAATAACTCAAAAAACCTAAAAACTAGGACCGGTCTGCAACGCCATTAAGTCAGCAACAGAACTGTCTAAAACTTCCCCATTTAACCATTTTCCTATCTCTTGTATGTAGTTTCCAAGACGTGCATCACCAAAATGGTCCACACTGTATATATGTAAATATAAATCAAATGACGTACGTGCAAGAAAATAAGTTAATAATGTTCAAATTACTTAGTACATGATTAAAAACTAATATCTCAGGACCGCCTTCAGGTCCGTAGTAACAATACTTACATTTTTCAGTGCATCGTGGATATTCTCGGCGCTGTAGGTAAACCTGGCCGCCCTCTGCTGATTAAGTACGTCTCTGGACGCTCGAATCTGCTCGTAGATGGCGGAGGTAGATGGGGTACGGCTCAGCCACTGCCTGTACTCATCTGAAGAGAACACACTAGGTGACGAGGGTATCCTCCCTTCATAATGAAAATGATATATATGATGGAGTGTGTGTGTAAGCCGAGGTTTCTAGAGAAATATAAGGTTACTTTCGTGCCGGATTTTTATTATGTCAAATATTTACGATGTCCTCGACGGAACTTTTATGCTTTTATGGGACAACGCGAAATTGTGAAGTTTTGGGTAGAACACCGAAATTACTTTGTCGCTTATTACGACTAGGGCTGAAAAACCGTATACCAGGTTTTGATCTTTTGCGAGACGAAACTTTATATAAACTGAATTTAAAATTTTGCAGCTTATTAACGATGTTTTATCGGTATGATTGATTTTTTTAATCTCTAAGTTCTCTGCCTTCATATATGTATATTAAGGGCTTTCCCCACCCCTTCTGTCGAGAGATAGAACAAAATATCAATAACGAAAGTAGGGGCTATCCATATTTGTACTATTAAAAAATTCAATTCTATGTGTTGGTATGTAGATTACGCCCCCTAGCGGCCCAGCTAGGAACTATTTCCAGCGATTTCTCTTGGTCGATTTATTCAATACATTTTTTTTCTCTTGAAAATAATAACTAAAACAATAACAAACAGATATTGATATTGTGTAACAAAAGAACAGTTAAATTTTAAGTAATTTTTTTAAGTAAAGATGTTTATAAATGCTCGAAGTACATACCATTATTTTCAATACAGAAATTTAACATTCGCTGCGTGCTTAGGTAGGTTCTTTTATAAATGCGTTTTGTTTTTGTAATTAAATGTCTTTTCGTTAGCGTCGTATTACTCAATTCATTATCATTATTTATTTTTTTTCTCACTAATTTGCGAATAACCTGATAACAAATAAAAGATATCGGAACCTTTTTGCCGTCAAAATGTAACTATTTTTAGGCTCTTCAAATTAACCTAACAACAAGTTTTATCTTGCTATTTCATTTTTTAAGAAAGCGTGAAGCAACCTAATCTTTGATAAATAGCGCCAATAAATAAACAATACTTTCGTTAGAAATTTCAAACATACTATATTCATCAATTTCTTGTGCTGAATTCATTTTTGTAAAAAAAAAACTATAACATTACATTTAAAATTTTTGATAAAAATCCATAAATGGCATTCTTTTGAAACAACGCCATCTATAGGATTCCATATTGAGGTAAATGACAATACGGGTTCACCACGAGATAAAGCATGAAAAGACCTTTCCACCATGGGTTTTTGATTAGCCAATCCTTAAAAAAATGCATTTTTCTGATCAGACATTAGGGGCTTCCCCCACCCTTTCTGTCGAAAGATAGAAACAAAATGTCAATTGCGCCCCCTAGCGGCCGAACTACGAAATTGAAAACTATTTCCAGTGATTTCTCTCGGTTGATTTATTTATCAAAATCTATTCCTCGAAGTTCTAGGGCCTACACTTTCCCTAATATCGTACCTCGCCGAACTTAGTGGGACACCCTGTACATGTTTTAGGCAGCTCAGGCATTGTAAACTTTTTTTTTTAATTATACTAGTTGTATTTTTATATTTTTCTTACACGAAAATCATTTTTTATCTCTATTTTGTGAATACCTTGAATAACATTTCTTTCTAGTTTTTGAGTTTTTAAAAAATAATTATGTTAAGTGTTTTTACAATATCGTTCCTTTTTCGGTGGTATGTTGGCGTTTAAAGTCTTGCCGATTTGTAGTACAAAAACTTAAATTGTCAATTATGGATACGCTAATTTAGAATGGTGTATATGTCGCTTATATAAAGAAATAACAATGGATATAATCTGTTATTTTTCTCTTTACGTTCTACACAAAAGACATTTTGACTGTTGGAATATCTCACAAAAGATCAACTTAGTGTTTAAAATGTAAAGTCTTCTTTCCGTTGTTGGTAAATTGTTAGAAATTTGCTAACAATCCATAATTGCATACTAAAAACGTTGGTTCCATACTTATATTTTACAAAGTTGTTCCTAATAAATTATCTTATATTTCTCCATCAACCAAGTGAGTGAATGACAATAATGGCAATAGCTGTGATGGTTTAGCGTGAAATACTTCTTCTTGTATATCGCCTACGTAAGAATTATGGGCAATTTGTAAATATTTGTTTTTTTAATGTAAAACCTATTAATTAAATGTAGATTGTGGTCCTGCAATGTAGATTTTCTTATTTCTTTTTTTTAAAGAGGTATTAGAAAAAAGTATTTTGCAATAAGAATTAAAAATGCTGGATTTTTACTGAGTGGGACAAGTTCACAAACCCGATAAGACGATTTACACTTTGCTTTAAGGAAATCATAAATGTGAGAGTTTCATGTTATTGAGACAAAAATAATATTATAAATTATATTTTAAAATTATTTTAAATATACAAAGTGATGTATAAAGTCATGGAAACCAACTATTAGGTTATTAATTGGGATGTCTTATATACAGGGTGTTAAAAAATGACTAAAAAGAAGTTTAGAATGATCATATTTCAGTATTCCAAAAAATAAGAAAATATGAACATACGTCCTAAAACGCGTTTTTTGTGGGGGGTGGGGTATTAAAATTTTCTTTGCAAGTAAGATAACAAATATTGCTATATTTAGCATTTAACGGTTGGTTGCTGTTGTTAATTTGTTAGTTTGTAGACTTTATGTTATTTCTTGCATTTTATTTGCTATATTTATAATATTTTGTAGTTTCCATCTTATATTTAATTGATCATTGTACTGTTGGATAGTGTAATTCTAAAATAAATTAAGAAGCTTGTAAATATTATAGCGATACTGGCGTTATTGATATTAGTAGTTACACAGTAGGTACGAAATAATAATTTATCCGTGTATTTTATATGTAACATTTATAACAGGCGACGTACTTTCTACAAATTCTCACCCCAACAAAGTCGGTTCTCCACTGACTAATTTCTTCATGGGGATAATGTACGAGCCAAGTGTGTGCATTACATCTTGTTAGGTCAGATATTAATGGTACTTCACGGAATTTAATGACACTATTTAAACGGGGTGCACTCGCGGGACCGTCGAGGGCTAGACGGCCGTTTCATCTCGTAACCGTTCTATTTTCGGTCCAGTGGCACGCTTTTAATTGTAGGACGGTTTGTTAACCATTAGCGCTGGATGAGGACTGGATACCGTAAATTGCACACTCGTTCGGAAACAAATCGTGCTTTGATGAGTTCCCATAAATCGCAAATATTAATAATGTCCGCACCTACTCAGGGTGATAATAATCATAGATTTTGAAAAGAATTGTGTTTTGTGATATCACCACACGTAATACATACTGGGAATAATATGATAATTTTTCATTAATAATTGTATAGAAAAGGACTGGAAAAGTTCCTAAAACCTCAAAAACAACATTTCTTCTTTTTCTGTTGTCAGCATTAATTTTTAGAAGATACATCTGGGAAATGGTGAGAAAAACATATCTCGATTTTTTTTAATCCAGGGCTACATTGTTAAAAGAGGAATTTTTTTCGGTACCGACAGAAGCATAAGTCCGGAAGCCCAAAAACCAATGAGCTCTATTTCAACAGCAGCTTCGCTGGATGAAAATAGAACGATTTAGATCAAGTTACTTCAACATAATTTTGCTTCTTTAAAAAGTTTTTACCTTATTTTGTTTTATTTGCAAAAACAGATTATTTCTCTTTTTTTTTTTAATATAATGGGATTAAGATAGTAAAAGATAACATAGGCTTATTTCTCACTTAAAACTTATCGGTTGCTAAGAATATTTGAAATGGTCATTTTTTGTTATTTTTTTGTATGGATTTTAAGAAAACGGAGATGTGGTTAATCAAATATTCTTACATTTAGACCAATTTACTTCTGTTCAAGCAATATGCAACAGATATACATTTTTTTATAGAAAATAACATGAGGTTTCATAAAATACATGTCTTCTCAAAATCCGTAAAAACAAAAAGTAATATGGGAAAAAACAAAAGCCCTTCAGAGACTTTCATATTTTGTATAAAACTTTAGCCCATTTCAAATTTCATTGATAATATCTAAAAAAGTATTAGTTATCTAAAAAATATATAAAAAAAATATTTACGATGACTATCTAAATAGGTTTTTTCATCAAGAAAAGCTAAGCTTGAAATATAGCACGACTTTCAACTAAGTAGGTAAATATGACTGAAAATATATGTTTAATCCTTTAGTACCTACAGTTTACAACCCATCTTTTCTCGGAACCAATTAGCCGTATCAAAATGATAAAAGGGTACATATTTTTTTTATTATTCTTCATTTTTCCTAAATAATTTTATAACTTTGTAAAGATGACATATTTTTACTGACAGAATTATAGACTTTTTAAAATACAGTATCTCTGTAGCAATAGTTATTTACGTAATAAATAATAAGTCAGCAAAATGTTGTTTCCTTGAATGAGTCTCTTTCTTTTCCAATTTTTTCGACAATTTTTTTGACATTCAAAAGGCCAGATCGACTAGATGGTGTCTGTCAATCTGAATTAAATGTCCTTACTGAGTTTTCAAAATATTCAGTAGCGTCGAAATTATATTAATGACGATTTACCAGTACCTCTACCACTGGTTGACAGATTTGTGTATCAACTCAGCAAATTTTTACCCACAGCAAGTTAACTCTACTTTTAATCAATCTATGAAAAGGAACTTAAGATATATTTAAATAAATGTGACATATATTTACTTTAATTTCAACCCCTTGTACACGAAACATTTCTACACATATACATATAAAAATTTTTTTATTGATTTGACGCCATCACTAAAGACGACAGAGTATTTCTTTAGTACCCTCTAAATGGAGGTTAACTAAATAACAAAATTTCAGTCTGAGAATTAGATTAGATTTAGTTTTTTTTACAAATTAATACTACTTTACACCTTTTCTAAATTGAAATGATTTTTTTATTCTATATTGTTGAACGCATATTTCTACTGGCTTTTCCAAATCTCCAATTTTAATTCAATTGTAAAAATTTTACAATTATCAACAAGTTATCGACGG